TGTTCATTTGCTCGTGAAATGAATTCCACTTGGACATGGCACCTCATCTTTCAGTGTTCTTCTGGGTTCTATTTACTAATATTTCTTTTAAATTTTTGTAACCACATTTATAATTTAAATTTAGTTATATTCTCTAAGTATGGTCTGGAGACACTGAGGATCTACAAGATCTTTTTACAGGGTCCTCAATGTCAAAACTACTTTCCTACTAAAACCAAGGTATTGTTCTCCCTTTTTTATTCTCATTCTCTATGGAGTGTATGATAGAGTTTTACAGAGGCTACATAACATCTGCTATCTCAATAGATTGAATGTAAAAAGCAGATAATAAAACCTGCCTATATTTTATTTAACCAGAAACTAAAAGAGTTTTACAAAAATGTAAAACAAGGCCAGTCATTATTTTGTTGTTGTTGTTTGGGAATGTTATTTGCATGAACATATTACTTAAAGTGAATACCTAATGTTTTATTATGATTGTCCAAATAAATTAAGAAGTGAATTCTTTTTTTTAAGAGAGAGAGAGAGAAAAGAGAATTTTTTAATATTTATTTTTTAGTTTTCAGTGGACACAACATCTTTATTTTATTTTTATGTGGTGCTGAGGATCGAACCCAGCGCCCCGCGCATGCCAGGCGAGAGTGTTACCGCTTGAGCCACATCCCCAGCCCAAGAAGTGAATTCTTACATGTTTGCCTTAATTTCTAAAGTGATAAATATTTACAAATAGAGCTCACATAAACAAAGCTCTTTAAGACACTCAGTGATTTTTTTTTAAAGTGTAAAGGTGACCAAAATGTTTGAGAGTTGCTGACCTTCGATCTTCTAATTAGCTTCTGCATTTCTCTGAAATTCTTGTCAGAGTTTTTTTTAAAAAACTGGAGATTGTTTTATATTTTGCATACAATTTACAGGACAAGAATAATAAATAATACGTTGTGTTTTTGGTATATATAAGAATAGTATACAATATATAAATAATAATAAATAATGATGTCACGTAAGTACACATGCTAAATAGCTTTTCCTTAGAGTCTTTAAGTTAACCCTTCTCAATTTCCTTCACAGTTATTGATTTTCAGATTTAATTTTTTTTCTTCAGACAATTTACATAACAGAATCTCCTAGTAATAGTTATACCATTCATATTTTCCTACTTGTTGCCTTGAGTTGTGCAAAACATTCCCTGATGATTAATCCATTTTGTTTTGGAGATAACTTTCTACTTTGTTCTTGATTTTGTACTTTTTAAAAAATATTTCCAAAAACAATTACACTGGGTAGTGTTTTGTCCTTTCATCCTTAGATTTTTATATCCTTAGAAAACAGCTACATTTTGGACAGGCATGGTGGTGCACACCTGTAACCCAGTGGTTTGGGAAGCTGAGGCAGGAGGATCATAAGTTCAAAGCCAGCCTTAGCAACTTAGTGAAGCCCTAAACAACTCAGCAAGACTCTATCTCTACATAAAATATATTTTTAAAGGGGTGGGGCTCAGTGGTTAAGTGCCCCTCACTTTAATCCCAGGTATCAAGAAGAAGAACAAAAAGAAAATAGCTACATTTCTTTTTAGTGAACGTATTTCCTCTGATTGTATAGTATTGAGAAGTTTCCTGAGGAGGACTGATAGATAGGCACAGTTATAAGTTGTATTGATGTTAGATTAGCAAGAAACTTCAAGAATTGACTGTTTCCATTAGAGATCTTAACTATGCAAATGATTTCAGACAGATTCTTCATGTTTCTGAGTCTAGTATCTTCCATGTACATTGCTATGACTTGAATATCCCCTCTAAAACTCATGTTGAAATTTAATTGCTACTGTAAGTTTTGAGAGGTGAGATCTTTAGGAGATGTTCAGGTCCTGAAGGCTCTGCTCTCATGAGTGGGAGTCGTTTAGTGAAGAGTTTCTATGTGTTCTGGCCAGAATCATGAGCCAAATAAATTCTGCTTGTAAGTCACCAGAATACCAGCCTTAGATACTCTGTCAGAGCAGTAGAAAACAGACTAAAATGGCTTGGGAATGTGGCTCAGTGATAGAGTGTGGTGAGCCGTGTTTGTAGACCGTTGCCGCCATTAGAAGATGGCACCGGTCTCCGTTGTAGATCTTGGTAAACAACTCCTTATTAGGAAAAGTTGGCGCGCTGTCCCTCAACACCCTATGAGAAAACCCCGAGTGGCAGCTTTGGATTGGACTTGAGTAAGCTTTATTAGGCTGTGTGTGGGGGCGTGGAGAAAGCGCGCGCTTGAGAGAAGACTAGAGTTAAGGCCTGAGTAAACCGCTGAAAGAAGAATCCTGTGTCGTGTCTTCCTTGCTGGCGAGGGGGTCGCGACAATAGAGCACTTGCCTAGCACACGTGAAACCCTGGGTTTAATCCCTAGTACTGCAAAAAAATAAATAAATAGAAAACTAAAACATGAACAGAAGACAGAGGATAAGAACATTAGAACCTGCAGGACTGCTAGATAGAATGGCTGCTGCTATCATTATGAGGGTCAAGCTAGCAGCCTTGTTTCCCCCTGACCCCAGAGTTTCTGAGTCTGAGACAGTCACTTTCTATCTCCACATATTTTAAAGAGATGATAATTGAAATTTCTCATCCTCTCACTTTCTTGGGAACCGAATGTATTTTCCTGGGTGGTGAATCCAGGATCCATGATTTGGCTAAAGATGCTCTCAGGTCTGAAGCCTCAGAGCTCCCCTTCTCTCCAGCCAGTGCTGGCCATGCATTTCCCTGTGACTGCTGCAGCCCCACTAGTCTGTGCAGCTCCAGTGCTGACCAGGACTGGCCACAGATGTTTCAGGGGTGGGGTACAGAATTTAGATTGAATGTTCTTTCCCTTGATGTCAGCAGAGAAACAGGGAAATATTGAAGAGCCAATTCCAAGTTGGTTGGTTGGTTTATGCTGCACAACAGGGACCCTCTACTTTCTGACACTTGCCACTGAAGATTTATCTGCAGACCAGATTTGTCTTGTTTCCAGTCCTCACAAGACTACAAAACTAGCAACAATCACTTAAGAAGCCCTCTCTGAGGCCCGCCCTCACCCAGAGCCAGGTGGGGCACTTGCATCAGGTGGCACCAGGTACCCGCACTGTGAATTACTTCCTGTCTTAGGGGAATGCAAGTAGCCAAGCTCCATGCTCCTCTCCTCTTCAGTGGGGATTTTTAACTGCTTCTTTGTCTTATTAAAAAATCCACTGAGCACATAATTATACACTCTGCCTTTGAAAGCATCACTGAGGACTGTGACCTGGCACCATTGCTGCTGGCTGATCCACTTTGATCCATCAGCACGCTGATTCAGCCTGTCTGCCAAGAGGCCAGGGGCTACCTGCTTCCAGGTCTTGCAGGGTCACAGGATGGGGCTGTCTTACAGGTCTGTGAACAACACTCCTGTGATGTCCTTACTGCCTTACTCTGCAGCACTTCACAGGCTCCCGTGTCCTACTCTCTTGGTTCCTCCTCACACTTCTTTCACAGGGGAAAAAGTGGGGAGAATACTTATTCCCATGTTAAGAAAAAAAATAATAAAATGAAAGGGAACAATAAAGAAATTGGGGCTTATAAATTTTCTAAGGGACACAAAGTCACATAGCTGCTAAGTGAGAGAGACAGTTTGCCCTGGATTCAGCCTGAGCACAAAGACCTTTCCACAGCACGCCCTTGCCTGTTTTGGAGAATGAGCCACTAATTATATTACACACACAGTGCTGGTGCCCAATTGCCTTTCCCTACCCTGCCTGCATATCAACCATTAATCACTTGGTTCATTCATTTTTTCATACAGTCATGAGCAAATCTTCACTGAGCACCTAGCACTGGAGAACTAAGTACAAGTACCCCAGGCCAATTCGATAAATACTATAGTTTTTTTTTTTTTTTTTTTTTTTTTTTAATTCAGCCAATTTATTGTAAACAGGAAAACCCTAGGACTCTATCATACTGGCTGTGTCACATGCTCTTTCACATCAACTAGTCAAAAACAAGTCCCCAGTAACTAATAACTTAATGTGTTTCACAAATCTCATCTGCTAAACACGGAGTAAATAGAAGTATCTGGGGTAGTCTGTTATTGCTCATGGACTGCAGCTGGGATCCATTTAAATGAATCCATTAGTATGCCTGAGTGACCCAACAGTAGCTCTAGATCCCATTTGGAAACCAGAAAGTGCTGGAGCACACTAAACAAGTGCAGGTTCATGGAAGACTACAAGGAATTGCTTTCAGATCTCTTCAGGTGCCTTTCCTCATACAAATGACACTTGTAAATTTTATTCATTTTTTTTTTTAAAGAGCTAAAAGTTACTCAATAGCACATAATTTTCCACAGAAAAGGTAGGTGGATTTTCATTTACTTTTACAGTGTTGGATTTAAACACTCAGGACAAATTTTAGATTCATCTTGTATATATTTGTAGTTTGATGAAAAGCTGCATAGTCTACAAATGCATGAGACCAGAAGGAAGTGATAACTTCATACACCTTCTGATGGACCAAGACAGCTTCACACAAGGAGGCTCTTGAAGTTAGATAAAAAGACAGTTACAGCACCACATTGACCTGACAATAGAAAGGGAGCCCTGCTTTTGAAAGCAGTCTCCTAGGTTGTGACTAGTATCATTCTTGCCCCAAATTGAGATAATTTGGAAAATGGAAAAACCTAAGATGTGAAAAGACACGACTCCACAGAAAGAAGTCCTGGCAAATCAAGTCATAAGGGGAGGTTACATTTCATTTGAAAATGCCATTCTTTGCCTGAGTTAGTGGACAACAGGACCACTTACTATTACTAGTGCCTGTATGTGGAAATATATTCACAATTTCTCTTGAAGCAAGTTTTAATAATAGTAAATATTTCAAAACAGCTGTTAAATCTACAATAACAATTTCACCTAAAATAGTATCTCATGAAAAAAATATTTTTAAAAGTCCACTCCAGTCATCTGTATGTATGTTTATATTTATATATTAAAAAAAATAACACTTAAGGCAAGATCAGACTGGTATCAACGAGGGATTTAATCTTATGGAACTCACTACTTAAGAACGCATATCTCCAAAAAGGTGGCTTTGTATTTGCTGCCTTTTAAATTCATAAAGGGGCAAAATATTGTGGTTCACACACTGACTGCAATTTCACTGTAGTAAAGAGTTAAGGGTGGTAACAATAGCTGATGTTGGAAAAGCATGTCACCCACTCAGTAGAATCTGAAGTTGACTCTATTTGTACTTGTTAAGTAAATACAGCAACATGTTGATGAGAAATGGTAAAACTGACAGAACACTGCAAACCAACTATGAACAAGAATGGCAATATAATTCAGTCAAAAACAAACCACAGTAATCCTGAGAAATTCAGTTTGGGACAAAATTGATGTAGGGTAAATCTGTATTTCTAGCACTATAAATAAGTAGGGTATTCTAGATTTTTCCAGCGTTTTGCTAGTTGGAATAAAAAACATGTTCAAATTTTATAAAAAGATTAAAACCATGCCTTATATAACCAGCAATTTCACTAATAAAAGAAAATGACATTGCTTTGTGCATTATCTGCCAAATGTAATGTTCTCCATTGATTTACATGAAACCATCAAGTAGAAAGCAAATTTGAAGATCAATTTTTAAAAAGGTAATACCTTTTTAAATGTTTTAAAGCCTTCTATGCCAACCTAGGAGGCTTTTACAAAAAAGCTAACTTTTTCTTCAGACAAGTGACTATTTTACAGAATAGGGAAGAAAGATTCTATAGGAATATCATTCATCATTTTAAGCAGTTATATAAGGGAAATTTCTCTTAGTAATGAAAAGAAAAATGTAAAATATTTGAGGGCATGTATTTTAAAAATATTCTACATCTCTAAGACTCTGTAATTTAATTACTTTGGATTTTTAATATTTCTACATAATGACATTTGACAACTTCTTTTTGTCTGTGTCTCTGATAGTGAACAAGAAACTATTAAAGTGGCCAAGACTGTTTTCCTAGGCTCTGGAAGACTCAGGAATACATCCTCTTTTACTTTCCCAGCAGTGAATGGGAATCTTCAGAGTTTTGCAGCCATGAAGTTAATATGTGGTTTCACAAGGGGAAATAGCGGCAAACCACGCTTGAACTCAGTCATGTTCTGAATCACTTCAGGTTGTGGCAAGGCTGGTGCTTGTGACAAATTTATATCATTTTGACAGGGGAACTCTCCAACAACAGGACAAGAATCCATTTCCCTGGCAAGAACGTGAACGGATACCTTATGTCTCCTTGGGGCATCTACTGCTAACATTTCCTTGTAGAATTTGATGATGTCTTCCTTGGTAAGGGTCTTTAAATATGCAACTTCTATATTATCTCTGTCAAAATTGTATTGCTGGGAGATGATTTCTCCCCAATATTTAGCACACTCTGCAGATAATTTCTTTGGTTTGTGAAGTCGACGAATTGCTAATGCTTGAATATGTTTTTGGAAGGCTTCTTCTGTCATGTCCTCTATGGACTTTTCCATAGTAATTAAGAAAGCTTCCACTCTGCTTTCTAGGTAGTGTGGTGGCTTTTCTGACTGGATGATGAAGCGCAAGCCCTGTATACCATTAGCTCGACGTGGCCCACTGAAGACAATGTAACCCAGCTGCTCCTTGGTACGCAGGGTATTGAAGCAAGGCTCAGAGATAATCTGACAGAAAAGTTCTAGAAACATGTTCTCCGAGGTGCTCTGCATGTCTGTTTGGTAGTATATCTCGATGCCACAGTTATTATGAACTTCATTCCTCTGCTGATAAACAAACCATCCTCTGTCAGGGAGCTGAACTTCTCTATATCGAACCAGCTGACTTGGAAGAAGAGGTTTGGTGTGAGCATATTCAATAAGGGTGTCTTCGACCATTTGCATGATTCCTAATGCAGCCTGTTTTGTTATGTTTCCATGGAGAAGGGCCTCAATGTGCAGCCGTGACAGAAGCTGAGGTATGAAGGCCTTAAGGCGAGGAAGAGTGACATCATCCAGGGCTTCTTTTAACTCATCTTTAGTCCAGGCCACTTCAGTCATCAGCAAGCGGAGGTAGTACATGGCATGCTGGTGAGGCTGTTCAGCCCGGAAATTGTTGAGAGACCGCATATACGCTTCTTTGATAATTTCAAATCTTTTTTTATCAATCTCAAAGGTAGCCATTTTCTCAGTGATCTTCTTTAGCAAAATTGGCTGCTTGTCATTATAACCTTTCACTGAAAGATACATCCCATAGATGGTATTTTGGAGGTCATATCTCAAGCCTGCTAGCTCTGCTGCATATGCATACTCGTTGAGTGAGTCTTTGAGGAGCTCAAGGTACAAATAGGCCATGTTACAGTGCAAGGGGTCCACATAAGCAAATGGGCTGAAAAATTCAAAGTTGAGACAAGCCTTTGGCAAGAAAAACTTATCATCTTGTTTGAACCATAGTTTGCTCATAGCTGTATCCTTAATAAGAGCAGGGTATGCTGTTGCTTCTTTTTCTAATGATACAATCTCAAAATTTGTAGGAATAAATTCATTCTTTGTTGGAAGTTTAAATTTCCCATTTAGGTCAGCGTTTTGCCATTTCTTAATGACTTCATCTGGTATAGCTTCCTGTTTGTACTGGGTCCCATACCATTCTTCTGTGCGATCAGTTTTTCCTTCAAAAGATTTGGAAACTATTGCAACCCGGACATTTTCTGGTCTGAGCTTATCAAGAACCATCTCTATTAAGTCAGGTCTAAATTCTTCCAGTAAATATTCAGCTGTGAGTACTTCTTCTAGGGGATAATAATGCAATATTCCTGCAATTTTAGATGTATAGCCTCGTGGCCTCTCTTTATCTTTAAACCTAAAAGCAACAGCATTCAAGTCCTTGCACTCTTGGAAAACCCATTCTTGAGGTCCTTCTGCACGTAACTTCTGAATGTATTGAAACATGTGCAAAATTATATCTTCAACATGTAATAATCCTTCCTCAGTTAAGTCCACATTAATGATAAAAAACATAAAACCTCGAGCTCCTTCCTTCTGTCCACCAACCAGGGTATTTACCCAGCCCTTTGATTTAAGTTCTGATAATAGACTTCCAGGACCTTCATGCCCAATCAGATGACCAAGATAATGACCAGGATTTGATTTATAGTATTTCTGAAGGTCAGGTATGGGAAATGTTACATAAAGATTCCTAATATCCTTAATGGGCACTATTTTATAAAGTTGTTTAAGATGTTCTTCTTGGAAAGGGTGCTCAGGAAATTCTGGCAATGGGACATTTTTATTCTCTACTTCAGAAAATAACTTTACCACAAGATTAGTTAAGTCATCTAAAGATTCTCGGCCCAAAACACAAATAGCCATTAAGTTGGAGGAATAATAAGTAGAATGGAACTTCAGTAGCTCTTGTCTTACATCAATGCCTTCTTGGTTGGGTCGAGTCTCTAGAGTATATTTGTTACCTGTCCCAAATTTGCTGAAGGGGTGTTTGGGATTCCCTGTAGCTTTTTCCAACTGGAAGAGTCTCCAGGCATCATTCATCACATTCTTCTCATGCTCTGAATCAACTGCATTCACTTCTCTGTCTTTACAACTCTCATCAAACAAGGGGCACAGGAAAAACTGTGCAAACCTATCTAGGGCACCTTCTAGATGTTCATGGGAAACGTCAAAATAGTAATTGGTATGCTCTCCACTGGTAAAGGCATTTGAACTTCCTGCATGCTCACTGAGAAACTGGCTGTATTCATTTTCTTTAGGGTATTTCTTTGTTCCCAAAAAAAGCATATGTTCACAAAAATGACTTAAGCCAGCAATATTTGGAGGATCTGACAATGAACCTATGTGTACATCAAGTGCTGCTGATGACTTATCCGTGGTGGGATCACTGATGAGAAGTACTTTGATACCATTGGCCAACTCTAGTCCACGGTATTCTCGCTTGTCTTCAGGAGATTTGATAATGTGATTTCCTATTCTCTTGATAGCAGGATTATTCATTTTGCTGTAAGTCTTTTTTTGGAAACCACAGCGACGCTCCGAGGGGGGCAGGCGGGAGCCAAGGACGGAGCGGAAGGTGTTGGGTAGCGCGGGGTGCAGCAGCCACGTTAGCCGGTACCGCATACCCCGGCGCAGCCGCTGGGATCACGGCGAACGCTTCCTTCTGGCGCTCCGATAAATACTATAGTTGACATGAGCACTAAATTTAGCGATCACCTTGAGAAAGAGATAACTTGCCTGAGGAAATATTTCAGTAAACATTAGACTTTTGCTGGGTCTTAAACACACACACACACAAACACACACACACACACACACTCGCACCAAAAAAAACCAACAGGACCTAAGACCATTTTCGTGAGTACTCTGGCTACAGCATTGAAACAAGACTGCAGGAGGGGATAAGGGAAGAAGCCAGGAGATCACTGAGAGGCTATTGCAATAATCAAGGGGAGAAACTAAGATCCAAATGGTAGCAGGGGAAGTGGTGAGAAGTCAGACTCTAGGCCTATTTTAAAATAAAAGCAAACAGAATTTCCTATTGGAGTGGATATGATGTGTGAGAGAAATCAAAAGTGATTGCAAGGCCCTTGGCTTGAACAACTCTAAGCATGAACAACTAAGATATCAGAATTGGGTAGGGACGCAGCAGAGATCAGGAGTTTATATTTGGTCAAGTTTGAATTGCCTGTGGCCACTCAGGAGATGTCTAGTGGGAAGGTAGATCTATGAATGTGCAGTTCAGGAAAATGATCCAGTCTGTACATGTAAACTTCAGACTGTCACCCCATGGTTGATATTTAAATCCATGACACCGGAAGAGTTCACCAAAGAAGAGTGAGCTTTCACTCATGGGATACTCTAAAATTTCCGGGTGGTAGAAATGAGGACAAATGACCAAAAATTGACCATTATATTTAGCAATAGGAGTGGGGTAAGGGTGATTTTAATGATCTCTACAGGGGCAGTTTTATCTTCAACAAATGGTGCAGGGAAAAATGGAAATCCATATGTAGCAGAATGAAATCAAATCCATTTGTCTCACCCTGCAAAAAACTCAACTCAAAGTGCATCAAGGACCTAGGCATTACACCAGAAACTCTGCCTACTAGAAGAAATATAGCCCAACTTTTCATCATGTTGGCTTAGGAATCAACTTCCTCAACAAGACCCCTAAAGCACAAGAAATAAAAACTAAAAAGCTTCTTCACAGGAAACAATCAAGAATGTGTAGAGAGAGCCTACAGAATGGGAAAAAATCTTTGCCACCTGCACTTCAGATAGAGCATTAATCTTCAGGATATACAAAGAACTCAAAAAACTTAACGCCAAAATAATAATAATAATAATAATAATAATAATAATAATAATAATAACCTAATCAATAAGTGGGCTAAGGAACTGAACAGACACTTCAAAGAAGAAGAAATATGATCAGTCAACAAATATATTAAAAAATGTTCAACATCTTTAGCAATTAGAGAAATGCAAATTAAAACTATAATGAGATTTCAACTTGCTCCAGTCATAATGGCGATTATCAAGAATACAAGTAACAATAAATGTTGATGAAATGTGGGGATAAAGGTACACTCTTTCATTGCTGGTGGGAATTAAAATTGGTGCAACCACTCTGGAAAGCAGTATGGATATTCCTTAGAAAACTTGGAATGGAACCACCATTTGACCCAGTTATCCCACTCCTGGGTTTATACCCAGAGGACTTAAAATCAGCATACTACAGTGACAAAGCCACTTCAATGTTTATAGTAGCTGAATTCACAATATCTAAGGTATGAGATCAAACTAGGTGCCCTTCAACAGATGAATGGATAAGGAAAATGTGAAATACACACACACACACACACACACACACACAATGGACTATTACTCAGCCACAGAATAAAATAAAAAATGGCTGTATGACTTTTGCCGGTAAATGGATGGAACAGGAGACTATAGTCCTAAGTGAAATAAACCAACACCCAAAACCAGAGTCCTGATGTTCTCTCTGATATGCAGATGCTAACATACAACAAGTGGGAAGGGAATAGAAGTTCACTAGATTAGACAAAAGGGAATGAAGGGAAGGGAGGAAGATAGGAATAGGAAAGACAATAGAATGAATCAGACATAACTTTCCTCTGTTCTTGTATGATTATACAATCAGTCAAACTCCATATCATGTACAACCTTAAGAATTGAATCCTAATTAAATGTTATTCTCCATGGATGTATAATATGTCAAAATATAATCTACTGTCATGCATATCTAAAAAGAACAACAGCAACAAAAAAAACAACAAGGGCAGTCTTAAAGGAGTAGTAAGGGCAAAAGTTTTGTTTTTGAGTAGATTTAAAAGAGAATGTGATGGAAAGAATTGGAGACAGCAAACACAGACAGTTCTTTTAAGGGATCTTAACTGGGAACACAAAAATGAATTAGCACCTAGATGGGGATATGGAAGAAAAGAGAAGATATGTTGCCTCTTTCAACATGGCAGAAATGATGGCATATATGTATACTGGCAGGAATTAAGTAGAGAGAAGATACTGATAATAAAAGGAAAGGTTTGGGGGACAATGTTCTTAAGCAGACGAGAAGGGAAAAGAACTAGCACACACAAGGGGAGCATTTGGTAACAAGGCAGGTGACACTGTAACAGGAGGAAAGGTGGAGGAACTGGGTGTGCATTCTATACTTTCTGAATATTCTTCCATCTCTTGATTCTCTTCCATCTCTTGTTTTTAATCAGTGAGCAGGTTGCTCAGAGCTGACATCTCAATACAAATGACCCAATCTTGGTCCTCTTCCCAAAGAATCATTAACATCCATCTCTGGGCCTCAGCTCTGTCAGATGGAGAGCTTCTTTTTAATTTGAAATCAAGAATCTGGTTTAAGTTTGCATGGTATCAAAAAAGAAAATGCCCCTTATGGGTTTACTCCCCAGAGTTTATAGTGTTGTCAGGGAAAACATTAAGCTGGATCCTGAAGCATGGGCTTGCACCAGTTTGCTATTTCCAAGCTTGGTCTTGGGGAAGTTTTGGAATCTCTCTGAGATGTTTCTTTTTTTTTTTTCCAAACCAATAGGGTGGTAGAAAGATTATAACAATTTCAGAGAGATAGGTTTCACTGTGAGACATGCTTTGTAAATCTACAGCTTTATGAAAATGAAGGTTTTAGAATTGCTCTTAGATTGGAGACTTCAATACAGTTTGTTCTACCTTCACTTGTTCTTAAATTTAAAACATTTTAAAATCATAAATTGTCCTCACAAACAAAACTCTTTTCTGAAAATTTCTTGCTTTCATCCTCTTAAGAGATAAAAATTTGAAAAAGCTTAACACCAAAAAATAAAATAAAATAAATAAACCAAATAACCAAATCAATAAATAGACAAAAAAAATTAAATATACTTTTCTAAAAAGAAAAATACCCTGGGGAATAATACTGGCCAAAGTATAATGTTATATTGTGTGCATGTATGATGATGTAACAACAAATCCCAACATTGTGTACAACTATAATGCACCAATTAAAAACTATGGAAAAAAAGAAACACAATAGCCAACAAATACATGCAGAAAAAAGTTCAATATCTCTAGGAATCAGGAAGATGTACATCAAAACTACACTAAGATTTCATCTCACTCCAGCCAGAATGGCAGTTATCAAGATTATAAATAATAAATGCTGGCAAGAATGTGGGGGGCAAAGTACACTCATCCATTGTTGGTGGGACTAAAAATTAGTACAACCATTCTGTAAAGGAGTATGGAGAGTCCTTAAAAAACTAGGAATGGAAATATCATATGACTCACCCCTTGATATAGATCCAAAATATTTAAAATCAGCATACTGCAGTACTGCAGCCACATCAATGTTTATAGCAGCATAGTTCACTATAGCCAAGTTATGGAACCAACCCATATAACCATCAATAGATGAATGAATAAAGAAATTGTGGTATATACAACACAGTGGAGTTTTACTCAGCCATAAAGAATGAAATTATGGCATTTGGCAGCAAATGGATGAAACTAGAGAATATCATGCCAAATGATATAAGCCAGAGTCAGAAAGTCAAGGGTCAAATGCTTTCTCTCATATGTGAAAGCTAGAACAAAATAAGGGAAAAGGGTGAGGGGAGTCGGATATCATAAAGATATGGAGAAGATCAGTGGAGTAGAAGTAGGAGATGAAAAGAGAGGGAGGGAGGAGGGATGGTAAAGGAGAGGAAACACAGAATGAATTTGACAAAATTATGCTATGTGCGTGTACCATAGTGAATTTTCCCTTTACACATATCTATAAAGCACCAACAAAGAGTAAATAAAGGAAGACCAGTAGAGGAAGGAGAATAGGAGGGAGGAAGGAAGGGAAAGGTGGGGGCTCCAGGGACTGAAACGGAGTAAATCACATTCCACACATGTATGATTTGTCCAAATGAACCCAGCTATTATGAATAAGTAAAATGCCTTAATAAAAAAGAAAGAGATAAGGAAGTAGGGGCTGGAGCAAGGTTGCGAATAACCCAAGTGTGAGGTAGTCCAAATAGATTTCCTTGGTATATTTCAAGATAGTTATTCAAAGAAACTGCAGACAGAAATAGCTCTGAAATATATTCTTTTAAAAAAGAAATTCACATCTATTTTAGTAAAGTGAGCAAAGGATGAAGGCAAAAGCTTTCGTTCTGAGACCTCTATGTCTGCCTAGAAAAGAGCTTTTTACAAAAAAAGAGATTAGGGTTCTGATGCCTGGTCAGAGATTGCCACAGGTGGTCTTTTGAGGATTTTGCTACCCATGAAGTTTTGTCTGTATAATAAGACAACCTTGGATCCTCAGGTCCTTCCTTTCCTGAAGCTCCCATGACTACCTTGCTTCCTTCCCACCTCTGGAAACCCCAGTCCCCGATTTCTTTGTGTAACATAAGATATTATATAAACGTCAATCATCTGTGCTTTCCTTGAGATGCATACTTTTGTATGGCTCCCGTGTTCCTGCATGTTAAAAAATTCACGCGCTTTTTCTCCTGTTAATCTATCTAATGTCCACTCATTTCATAGACTACAATTATCAAAACCAAAGGGAAAAGAGAAAATTTTAAAACTTTTCCACATGATTCCTGGTTAAGTAGGCATTAGGAATGCTTCCCTGTCTCTCT